GAGGCGGGAAGGGGGACCGGGATGGGGAATACATGTATATCCATGGCTGATTCATGTCAATATATGACAAAAACCACTACAATATTGTGAAGTAATTAGCCTCCAATTAATAAAAATTAATTAATTAATTAATTTAAAAAAGAAATAATATTCTCATAGAGGAGCTAGGCACAAATAATTCCTAGAATTATCCTTAAGTATTAAGAATTATACACAATTGGAAGCATTTTCAAAAAATACATAGGTGTAATTAATTTTATCCTATACTTATTTCAGTGTTATCAATCATTGCTTAGTCTAGTATTCTCTCTCTTACTTCATTTTATCCGAGCCTTAAGAAGAACAACATTTTCAAATTTACCCTGAACTCTTCTTGAATTTTGTCCTCCAAGCCCTCACCACAGTTCTGGGACTTTCAGCAGCTCTGTCAGCTACCGAAACCTCTTACTTCTTCCATGGAGGCTATAGCAGTTTTAGACTGGTGTCTGCTAGTCTTGAACAAGCTTAGGTGACTTTGCCCAGTGTGCCCAATGCACAATATCCCTGAGAACTCAGAGCTCTGTCCTTCCTCAGCCGCAGAAGAACTAGAGGGGGAACACACCTCCTTGACCCCCTTTGTGATGGTTAACTCTGTGTGTCAGCCTGGCCCAGTTGTTTGGTCCAACACCAGTCTAGGTGATGCTGTGAAGTTATTTTTTAGATATGATTAACATTTAACTCAACAGACTTTGAATATAGCCGTTTACCTTCCATAATCTAAGTAGAGTTCATCTCATCAGTTGAAGGCCTTAAAATCAAAGACTGAGGTTTCCCAAAGGAAGAGGAATCCTCTTCAGGATTGCAGCATAGAAACTCTGCCTGCAAAAAAAAAAAAAGAAAAAGAAACTCTGCCTGCCTGCCCTAAAGACTTCAGACCCTCCAATCTCTAAAATTGCATGAGCCAATTCCTTAAAATAAGTCTCCCCCTCTCTTTCTCCTATTAGTTTTCTCTGCAGAACCCTGACTAATACAACCTTTCTAAAGTTATTTCTAGTGAAAAAAGTCAGAGAAAGACAAATAGAAAATGATATTACATATTTGGAATCTTAAAAAAAAATTAAAATTGACTCATAGAAACAGAGGAAATGCTGGTGGTTGGTGGTTGCCAAGAGGAAGGGGATAATGGGGATGGGTGAAGGGGTCAAAGTTACAAATTTTCAGTTATAAAGAGTAAGTTCTGCAAAGAAGACATACAGATGGCTAACAAACACATGAAAAGATGCTCAACATCACTCATTATCAGAGAAATGCAAATCAAAACCTCAATGAGGTACCATTACATGCCAGTCAGAATGGCTGCTATCCAAAAGTCTACAAGCAATAAATGCTGGAGAGGGTGTGGAGAAAAGGGAACCCTCTTACACTGTTGGTGGGAATGCAGACTAATACAGCCACTATGGAGAACAGTGTGGAGATTCCTTAAAAAACTGGAAATAGAACTGCCATATGACCCAGCAATCCCACTCCTGGGCATATACACCAAGGAAACCAGAACTGAAAGAGACATGTGCACCCCAGTGTTCATCGCAGCACTGTTTATAATAGCCAGGACATGGAAGCAACCTAGATGCCCATCAGCAGACGAATGGATGAGGAAGCTGTGGTACATATACACTATGGAATATTACTCAGCCATTAAAAAGAGTTCATTTGAATCAGTTCTAATGAGATGGATGAAACTGGAGCCCATTATACAGAGTGAAGTAAGCCAGAAAGATAAAGACCATTACAGTATACTAACACATATATATGGAATTTAGAAAGATGGTAATGATAACCCTATATGCAAAACAGAAAAAGAGACACAGATATACAGAACAGACTTTTAGATTCTGTGGGAGAAGGTGAGGGTGGGATGTTCAGAGAGAACAGCAGTGAAACAAGTACACTATCAAGGGTGAAACAGATCACCAGCCCAGGCTGGATGCATGAGACAAGTGCTGAGGGCTGGTGCACTGGGAAGACCCAGAGGGATGGGATGGAGAGGGAGGCGGGAGGGGGGATCGGGATGGGGAACACGTGTAAATCCATGGCTGATTCATGTCAATGTATGGCAAAAACCACTACAATATTGTAGAGTAATTAGCCTCCAACTAATAAAAATAAATGAAAAAAAAAAAAAGGAAGTAGGGTCTGGTGTCTTCCCTGGTGGTTCAGTGGCTAAGACTCTGCACTCCCAATGCAGGGGGCCTGGGTTCTATCCCTGGTGGGGGAACTAGATCTCACTAAGAGTTTGCATGCCACAACCAAAGATGCATGCCACAACAAAAATTGAAGGTTCTGTGTGCCACAACTAAGACCTGGCACAGTCAAATAAATAATAAACATTTTTTAAAAAAATAAAGATATTCTAGGATGTAATATACAGCGTGATGACTATTGTTAATATTACAGTATTGTATATTTGAAAGTTGCTGAGAGAGTAGATATTGAAATTGTAATCACTAGAAAACAACATATGTTATATGAGATGAAGAATGTTAACTAGACTATTGTAATTATTTTGAAATGTTTGCATATATCAAGTCATTATGTTGTACACCTTAAATTAATACAATGTTATACATCAATGACATCTCAATAACTTGGGAAAAAAAGTTATTCCTCTGTTTTTGCTTTTAGCGTTTTTTCCTTTGAAACCAGAATTAAGCTTCTAATCTGCTTCAATTACTTGCATTTATTTTCAATCATTTCTTCATGGGTTCATGGGTTTCCTTAGTAATAGCTCTAACAGATTTCTATTGGGCAGCTTCTTTTTGTTTTTTTTTAAAGAACCTTATTATTCATGTATCTTTTCTAGAGAAGAACATTTCAAAACTACATTTAATAAGAAATACAGTTAAAACATAAATACAAAGTAACTTCTTCATACTCCTTTGTCCCAATTTTTTCAACTGGAGCTCTTTAAAGTATTTCAAGTCTTTGAGGATATCTATTAGATAATGTCCGTCTCTTTTTTGTCCTTTACTCCCTGAGATGAGAGTTTCATTTATTTTCATATTTTAAGTAAAACATTTCTGGTAAGTTTTGAAGTTATTTCTGGTGGCATATTTGGTTTCATGAGTGCTTTGCATCTGGAGCCTGTTTGGAATTCTGACTTTTCCACTTAGAACAGCAGTGAGTCTGGAAAAGCTACTTGTTGTCTCCTCAGTGTCCTCATCCATAAAATAAGAATGACAGGAGAACCTGCCTAGTAAAGTTGTTGCATGGGTGAAATGCTCTAAGATTGTGACTGGGGCTCATCAAAGGATATGAAAGAGTCTTCTGGGATGTGACATATTTATTAATCTGATCTATTAAGTGGTTTAGCTCTTCATTGTCATGTTTACCACTCTGAGTTAAGAAAGACTTTCCTGACTGTTTTATTCATTGTTTCTCCTTGGTTTTTGTCAGTTTTCTTGACCTTGTCAAAGTCAACTTTTGGTTTCATTTTCTCTTAATTTTTTTGTTTGTTTTCTACCTCACTTATTTCCAATCTAATCTTTTGTACCTTTCCTGCTTGCCACAGGTTTATTTTGCTCTTTTTCTGGTTTCTTAGGTAGAGGATTAGGTTGTTGATTTAAGATTTTTTAATTTAAATTTTTTTTTATGATTTTTTTAAATTGGAAGATAGTTGCTTTATAATGTTGTGGTGGTTTCTGCTGTACATCAGCACTAGTAAGTCATAATTATATATATCCTCTCCCTCTTGAACCTCCTTCCCAAGATCTTTCTTTTTTTCCCTGATTTTATTTTAATTTTTTCCATTTATTTTTATTAGTTGGAGGCAGATCTCTCTTTTTAAAAGTAATCATTTACAACTATAAATGTCCCTCTATTGTGTTAGCTCCATCCCATAAATTTGATATGTCATGTTTTCATTTTCATGTATCTCAAAATATTTTCTAACTTTTCTTGTGATTTCTTCTTTGATCTATTTGGATCTTTCTTCTTTGATCTCTTTGGATAGAGAGTGTTGATTAATTTTGATTTATTTGTGAATTTCAGAAATTTCCTTCTGTTGATTTTTAAGTTCAGTCCACTATGATCAGAGAACATGGTTTGTATGATTTCAGTCCTTTTACATTTTATTGAGACTTGTTTCATGGCCTGGTACATGATTTATCCAAGCTCTCCTGGTGGCTCAGTGGTAAATCACCTGCCAATGCAGGAGATGTGGTTTTGACTCCTGGGTCGGGAAGATCCCCTGGAGGAGGAAATAGAAACCCACTCCATATTCTTGCCTGGAGAATCCCACGGCAGACTATAGTTCATGGGGTCGCAAAGAGTCGGAAATGACTGAGTGACTAAACAACAACAACAATCTCTTTTTAAAATCAGAAAAGGTACTTAATAAATTTAAAGGTATTTAAAGAAAAGGTATTTAGATGAATTTAAGACGTCAAAGACTACAAAATATAGTAAAAATGGCAGAATACAAATGCAATTCGCAAAGGAGAGGGTGGAGCTGTTAGTGGTGATAAACTAAGACTCCTATGGGAATTTCTCCTAATAAACTGGTAGCATATAGACCATGTGACTGCCTTAAGTTCCTTTTCCCTCATCTCCCCTTTGTCTAAAGCCTCAGTGATATCCCACCAGAAGGGCAGCTTTCCAAGACTGCAAGAATGCCTTCTTCATGCACATACACATGCTGGGGCTTGTGTGGCATGTAGGTGTTTCTTTGGGTAGGGAGATAGAAACACCTAGAAATATGATTTAATCCTTAAAGAAAAAAGGAACCCACTCAAAGGGGAGGATAAAGTTCCAAACAATCAGCAACATTTTTTTGAGTACCTGTCAAATGCAAAGCACCTCACTCAGGCTCTTGAGAGTGGTTCAAAAGGGGATAAAAGTAGGAGAAAACAGTTTATTTTCAAAGAAATGGACTGATCCTCAAAAGCAGAAGATACTCTTTACTATTTAACAACTCCCAGTGGGATTTAAATTCTACATTCTCCCTGTGGGAGCATTTTCTCCCTTTATTCAAGAGCCCTGTGGTAGGCCTCCAGAGGCGGCGAGGCCAGCTCTGTTTCTCCACTACCAGTGCCCAGCAGCAACTGTGCCACCTCTGTGCTCTCCACAGGACTTCTGCAGAAGTTGGTGTCTCCAGGGCCACAGAGCTCCCCCTCAGCACTTAGTGGGAGAGTTGGCCACTTGAGAATAAAGAAAACGTGTGTGAAAATATTTGGCGTATTTAAGTGGTGTGTGTAAAGGGAATGTGATGTCTAGCTTTGTGTTTTTCCTTCTTTCCTGGGACCAGTTTGAACAGTTGTTATCAGTTAGTAGAAGATGCAAATCTGAACAGAAGCTCTCAGTTCTGTCCAAAGGGTGAATATAGCTGATGATTGAAAACTTGCCATTTCTAGAGAGAGAAAGGCGACAGCAGCTCTTTTGCAGCTGTTAGGCAGTGGTGAGAATTCTGGCCCTTTGTCTTTAAGTGTCATACTACACAGACTTCAACTTTTTCATTCAGCACTTTATTCAAGAGAGAGGGGTGAAGGACGAGTCTTGAATGTTTAGCCTGAGCCACCAGAAGGATGGAATCACCTTAACTAAATAAGCAGAGGCAGACTCAGGGGGAAGTTCACTTTGGGACATGTGAAAGGTGAGACATCTATCAGACATGCAAGCAGAAATGCTGAACAAGCAGCGGAATATGTGCGCGTGGACAGGTCAAGGCTGCAATGTACCTTTGAATGTCATCCACATATATGAGACAGATTCCCCGGGAGAAACTGGAGTCTTAAGACAAAGAGCCTAGACTGAGCCCTGGAGTTGTCCTGTATTTCAGGTCAGAAAGATGGGAGGAGCCAGAAAGGAGACTGAGAGCAGCCACTGAGGAGAGGAAGGAGTCCTGAAAACCAAAGGAAGAAAAATAAAAGTGATCATTTGTTGAGGACACTGCTGATGGGCCAAGTAAGGATAAAGAAGATGTGCCTTGGATTTTATGACATGGGAGATGTTAGTAGCCATAACAAGGGCAATTTATGAAGAGAGGTGGGGGGAGAGGCCTGAGTGAGTGGGCTCAGAAGAGAAGGGGAGAGAAATTTCAGACAAGAAGGGTAGATTATTTTGAGGAGTTTTTCTGCAGAGGGAACAGAAAGAGTAGTAAGCTAGAAGGGGAATTGAGGCGAGGAGTGGAATTTTTTTTTTTTAATAAAAGAAATACTATATTTGTATACTAATGGAAATGTCTTTTGGTTGTTGTTTAGCACTAAGTTGTGTCTGACTCTTTTTCAACCAAATGTACTGTAGCCTGCCAGGCTCCTCTGTCCGTGGGATTTCTCAGGCAAGAATACTGGAGTGGGTTGCCATTTCCTTCTTTGGGGGATCTTCTTGAGCCAGGGATCAAACCATGTCTCCTGCATTGACAGGTGGATTCTTTTATCACTGAGCCACCAGGGAAGCCCAGTGGAAATGTCTAATAGGAAAAAAATGTTAAATTGCTAAAGCAATTCTCAGAGTACTCAACACATTCTAACTTTGTGCCAAAGTTTGTTCTTACTCTTTGCACAAGTGCCGGCAATTCTAGTTAAGGAAATAGTTTCTGTAGAGACAAGTGGAAAGGCTTGTGGTACTCATTTGAAAGCCACAATCTCTCTATCCTGGAGCCCAAGGGCAGGGCACGTGGGTAAAAATGCTGACCTCGTTGTCTCAGCTTTGACCGGAGGATGCATTTGTTTTCTAGGCATCCACACAAATACCACCTAAGCATCCTTTCTGTGCAATGAAGGTCATAAGAAAACCTCCCTAAAACAGACTTGACTGTTTCATTTGTGATTAGTTGAAGGTACAAAAATCAGTTTCCCTTTACCTTAGAAATAAGTGTTTCCAAAGGAAAATCTGTCTACAGAATTATACTGGAAATTTTGTTGTTCAGTCACTAAGTCATGTCCAACTCTTTGAAACCCCCATGGACTGTAGGGTGCCAGGTTCTTCTATCCTCCACTATCTCTTGGGTTTGCTCAAATTCATAGGAAATTTTATTAGTCTGGTGCAAAATTAATTGTGGTTTTGCATTGTTGAACTTTGCTGTTTGATATTGGAATATCAATATCAGTCAGAATATCAATAACCAGTGTTAAAGGTGGTTACGTTATATATCATTTTAATGCACATTTCTTGCTGTATGTTTTTTTGCTAATGACTTATTACTTGCTGTTTATATTTATTTTAGACTATAGAAATGACGTTAGACAAAAAGCAAATTTGAGCGATTAAAAAAATTATTTTTAATTGAAGGATAATTGCTTTACAGTATTGTGTTGGTTTCTGCCATACATCAACATGACTCAGCCATAGGCATACATATGTCCCCTCACTCTTGAACCTCCCTCCCACCTCCCATCCTAGCCCACCCCTCTAGGTTGTCACAGAGCACGGGTTTGAGCTCTGTGGGTCATACAGCAAATTCCCATTGGCTATCCGTTGTACATATGGTAATGGATGTTTCCATGCTTCTCTCTTCATTCATCTCACCCTCTCCTTCCTCCTCCCCGACCCTGATCCACAAGTCTGTCCTCTATGACTGTTGTACATGTATATGATGGAATATCACTCAGCCATAAAAAGGACCACATTTGAGTGAGTTCTAATGAGGTAGATGAGCCTAGAGACTATGATAGAGTAAAGTAAGTCAGAAAGAGAAAAACAAGTATCATATATTAACACATACATATGAAATCTTGAAAGATGGTACTGATGAACCTATTTGCTGGGCATCAATTGAGTGATTTTTTTATTTGAGTTCAGAACGGGTCATAAAACAGCAGAGACAACTTGCAATGTCAACAATGCATTTGGCCCAGGAACTGCTCACAAACATATAGAGCAGTGGTGGTTCAACAAGTTTTGTAAAGGAGACCAGGCCCTTGAAGATGAGGAACGTAGTGATGGCCATTAGAAGTTGACAATGACCAACTGAGAGAATCATTGAAGCTGATCCTCTTATAACTAGATGAGAAGTTGCTGAAGAACTCAGTGTTGACCACTCTGCGATCATTCAGCATTTGAAGCAAATTGTAAAGGTGAAAAAGATCTGTAAGTGGGTGCCTCATGTAAAAGTTGCTCAGTCGTGTCCGACTCTTTGCGACCCCATGGACTATACAGTCCATGGAATTCTCCAGGCCAGAATACTGGAGTGGGTAGCCTTTCCCTTCTCCAGGGGATCTTCCCAATCCAGGGATTGAACCCAGGTCTCCCACACTGCAGGTGGATTCTTTACCAGCTGAGCCACAAGGGAAGCCCTGGGTGCCTCATGAGGTGACCTCAAATCAAAAAAATTGTCATTTTGAAGTGTCGTCTTCACTTAAAATGTACGCAGCAACGACGAACCATTTCTCGACTAGATTGTTATGTGCTATGAAAAGTAGATTTTATACAACAACCAGTGATGACCAGCTTAATTGTTGGGCCAAGAAGAATCTCCAAAGCATTTCTCAAAGCCAAACTTGCACCAAGAAAACGTCATGGTCACTGTTTGGTGGTCTATTGCCTGTCTGATCCTCTATAACTTTCTGAATCCCAGCAAAACCATTACATCTGAGAAGTATGTTCAGCAAATTTATTAGATGCACCAAAAGCTGCAATGCCTGCAGCTGGTATTGGTCAACAGAAAGGGCCCAATTCTTCTCTAAGACATCGCCCAACCACATGTCCCACAACCAAAGCTTCAAAAGTTGAATGATTTGGGCTACAAAGTTTTGCCTCATCCTGCATATTCACCTGACCTCTTGCCAACCAACTACCACTTCTTCAAGCATCTCCACAACTTTTTGCAGGGAAAATGCTTCCACAACCAGCAGGAGTCAGAAAATGCTTTCCAAAAGTTCATCAAATCCTGAAGCATGAATTTTTATGCTATAGGAATAAACAAACTTATTTCTCATTGGCAAAAATGTGTTGATTGTAATGGTTCCTATTTTGATTAGTAGAGGTGTTTTTGAACCTAGTTAAAATGATTTAAAATTCAAAGTCCAAAACTGCAATTACTTTTGTACCAACCTGAAATACTTAGTTTTAAAAAAGGTTTCAGGCATTATCTTCAATGTATATGCAAATAATAAATTTCAATTTAAGAATTGATTTATTATGAGCCCAAGTTTTCTTACATCAAATCAGTTCATTTTCCCCCACATTTCACTGAGATTCTTTATTAGGCAATGCTTTCTTAACCTACTTTGAACACACTAGAGTGTTAGAAAATATTGAAACTACTGTTTATGTAAAAACATTTGTTAACCTGATTTTTAAATAACTGAGAAAAACTTCTCCCCATACATATGCTTTAGAGAAGTTTTAAATAATTGATACCTTCCTAAGCTTTACTTCAAAAAAAAAAGAAAACCAGTTCAATTAGGACTCTTCAGTATTCTACCTGTTACCCTTCCTAGCAGAGGAGAGCAAATCGTACTCTGGAGAATACAGGGTTATGGTCAAAGTAGCCAATAAAATCATTACATTTCGGGCGCCGTCTGGCTCGGTCGGGCCGGGGCGGGAGCGCGGCGCGAGACGGCAGGGCCCAAGGGCTGCGGACGGCGGCCTAGGAAGCCAGCAGAGTACTTAAGATTTCACGTATTTTTGCTGAACTTGTTAAAAAAAAAAAAGCGCTTGGGATGATGGATTAACAAGAACATTGAAATTCTGTGAAAATTTCAAATTGGAGCATATTGAATTTTCACCCTAGTCCAGCAGCTGTGCTGCTCACTTAAATACAGATGAATGAAGACCCCATTCGGAAAGACACCTGGCCAGCAGTCCAGAGCTGATGCAGGCCATGCTGGTGTATCTGCAAGCATGATGAAGAAAAGGACATCCCACAACAACATCTCGAATCAGTGATGTGCACCTAGCCGACACAATGATTGGCAAAGCAGTGGAGCACATGTTTGAGACAGAGGACGGCTCTAAAGACGAGTGGAGGGGAATGGTCTTAGCACGCGCCCCTATCATGAACACATGGTTTTACATCACCTATGAGAAAGATCTGTCTTATACATGTACCAGCTCTTAGATGATTATAAAGAAGGCGACCTTCGCATTATGCCCGATTCTAATGATTCACCTCCAGCAGAAAGGGAACCGGGAGAAGTTGTGGACAGCCTGGTGGGCAAACAAGTGGAATATGCCAAAGAAGATGGCTCTAAAAGGACTGGCATGGTCATTCATCAAGTAGAAGCCAAACCGTCTATTTCATCAAGTTTGATGATGATTTCCATATTTATGTCTACGATTTGGTGAAAACATCCTAGATGTCATCACGAACTTTACCAATTGTGGAACTATTAAATGTATAATTTGTAGACATAAAGACTTGATTGCTTTCCAGTTTAATGAAAGCTTAAATGTCCCTGCGAACCCACAATCTCTGCCAGCAGAACTGGTTTTGTTCTGAATCGTACAGATTTATGTGAACACGAAGCATTTTGTGTAAGGAACTCCTTCCTCTTAAAAGAAGTCTGTCTGTTTGGAAGGGAGTTACAGGCAAGTCTGGTAAAAGTTAAGCTAGTATCATAGTCATTTAAAACTGTAATAGATCTTATCCACTTTCCCCTTCACTCTTAACACACTCTGCTGCCACAATGCAAGCATAGTTTGGTTGCATTTTTGTTACTGCCTTTTTTTTTTTAAAGATATATATGTATGCATATCTATCTACCTATCTATATCTATGTGTATACATATATAATATATATATACACACACACAGATCTGTGTACACACACACACACACACACACACACACATACTTCATTGGCAGTTCTTTCTTTGTGGATTGAGGTAGGAGTTAAATAATTTTCTCCAGTTTAACAGGAGTGCTTGACTTTATATCACTGCTGTTTATTTAAAAATTAAAACTGGGCACAGGAAGAACATGGGGACATTCAGCTTGTGTTGAAAGTCAGAAGTTCAGAGCACCATTTCAATCCAGAGGCTTTAAACTGTAAATTCAAACATGAGTCACTTGTGGATGTTTAATGACCCACATTAGAATTTACAAAACAATTAGGAATCTAGGTAAAGGCTGCCTTTAATTCTAAGCTTTGTACACTTTTTGTTTACATATTTTTTTTTATCTTAAATACCTTTTTAAAGCAAAGCCCAGGTACTTGGTCCACATTGTGTAATACAGGTGTATTTTGGATGATGCATTTGGTCCACTATTTGTACAAATTAGTAGTCTGGGTTTTAGTACATGGATTTAAAAGGCAACAGTATATCAGTGGTTTATGTGTATTTGGTAAGTTCCTGGAAGAACATAGTACTTTTATATTAGAAATGTAAGAATGGCATTATTGTCTTTTACCAAGTTCTCTCGAATCCCTTTGTTATTATTACTGTTATTACTGGTGTATGATTATGGTCAGAAGGCTTCTCCCCCTCGACTTGCCCTCTCAAAGAATGTCTAGACAATTAACAGCTTAAATTCCTGACACCTTTTTTGGTGCTGTATGTTCTTGCTCATGGTGTGCTGATACTGTGGATTCATTCCATTTGGTGGGTGGGTCCTGCCGCATCAGGGTCGGTCGCCTGCACTGGCTTGTGGGTGTGACTGATCGCAGCCCTTAGCCGTTGAAACCGTCCCTGCAAAGCTGTTTGAACTAAAATAGAACCACAAAAGTGGTTCGTTTAGCAGCAAAACGTCAGCCTCTCACTTTGTTTTGGATGATCCCTGGCAGTTTGAAAGCTGGCTGGGAGAAAGATGGTTTGTGAAACCAGTCTTGTAGAGGTTGAAAATCTTACCCAAGATTTGGGCAGAAAGCTTAAATACATAGACTGGCAATCAGACACCAGGTCTGTGTGACCCCTCTCATAGCTGCTCTTGATGAAAAAGCGGTTATTTAGTTTCAAGGCCCCGCTGTACATGGTTTGTGTGACGCCCGTTTTCGCTTCCGGAAGGTCTGCCTTGTGCGGGTGTACGGTGACCTTGTGCGCCATGTACACCCAGCAGCCTGCTTCTCTGCACTGTGCCCTCACCCTGGGTGGTCGGGGTGAGCTGCTCCATGCAGTGAGTACCTAGGTCTTAGGTGTCCCTTCTGTGGTTCAAACAAGTGTTGCGCTACAGATCTGTTGTCTGTTCTGCTGGTGGCTCTTGTAAGAGTTCCTGCATGTGAATCTCAAGGCTGAGCGCAGCTCCCCAAGTCCAAGTGGACACGAATGGCCTAGAGAATGAGTTGTCCAGTGTGAGCTGCAGGAACAGGACACTGTGACTATAGGCTGAAAAATGAAGTCCTTTGGTGGGATCCTGAGGGTTGGGTCAGTTGAAACATTTTTTGCATTACTTAATGACTTGCATTGTGGTTTTTCTGCAAGTACCTTTAGCAACTTTTAATATACCACATGATCTGCCACTCTCTAGATAAATGTGACATGTGATTTGTTATCATTATTATTTTAATCATTGTTCCATTTATTGCCTTTAGGGTTGAAGGAAGTGGAAGGGGTTTTATGTTGATGTTTTCCCTTTTTTTTCCATTCTTTTTCTTTTGGTAGCATAAACCACACTTCCTGATGCCATGACTAACTCTGCTTCCCAGCTGAGTATTTCAGGCTTCATTTAGGCTCATGTTTCAGATCTGCATGCATTGCTTGCATTTTCCTGGTATCGGAATGTTGGTTCCTTGTTCTAGGAATACAACATTAATTTCCAAAATTATCATGGGACTTGTGACAACACAAGACATGAATCTCTGTATAAAATGTATTGGTCTTTCTCATTGATCTGCTATAGTATTATTGTGTCGTGTGTGTTTGTGTGTGATGTCTGGCTGCCACGTAAATCTTCAAAGGAAGACCTTAAAAGCAGACCATCCTTTTTTGCATGCTCTATTCTAAGTAGAATGTTCAGTGTAACTAACTGAAATTGCATGTTAAATATATTTAGGTTTTTTGTTTTCTATCTTTGTTTTGATTTGTTTTCAGTTTCTGTATATTTGTTTAACTGTGCTGTTTTAGTGGTTGTAGGATATAAATGCACTGGTGAAGCAAATGTAGTGCCAACAGAAGGTGATTTTCCTGTTGTGTATGTCTTGCAGCATTTGAAGGGACTGTGCATTCTTAAAACAATCACAGTTGCTTCTAAACCAGATTTCATTTCTATTATTGTTTTACGTGCCAAACCCCGAAGTGCATTGGGCTTGAATCTCTGAATGCCGTGGACCCATTAGAAGACTGTTTTGATTGTCACAAATTGTAGTGCCTGAAAACATTATTAAGCTGATTGTCTTAAAAAAAAAAGAAAGTTCTCCAAAGACAAAACAGGAATGATTATTATAACAGAAAACAATTATGGTTGAAATGTCTGTGGTTCCTTGGAAATGCTGCGCTTTTTGTATTTTCCATCATTAATGCAGTTGAACGAATGTGTATAGTTCAGAGGTCTTCGTGTTCGCATTTTAAAATTAGGTAAATGACCTCATCTTTCAAGCCTGAATTCATTTTTAATTTTAATTTTATTTTATACAATGTGTAGACAGTTCCCTGTTCTCTGCATTTAGAAGTATAAACAATATAAAGCTGTTAATTCTGTAAGTAATTTTTATAATTATGATGTAACTCTATCCTATCCTTCAAACATTTAAAATAAACCCTTTATGTGCAAAAAAAAAAAATCATTACATTTCTTTGAAATCTCTTTTTAAAATATTAACATCCAAATGAGTATTTCACTTTACACTATAATAACATCATACTTTTTAAAGTATATTAAAATGTTTTAAATGATAATTTGAGGGGGAAGAAATGTTCCACTTGTCCCACTGGTTGAGTGAAGAGGCTGCTTTTCATGGATTCTGTCCACGTCAGAAAACTGGGCTTCACTGCAGGCAGCTGACACCAGTACTAGATTCACCATCTTGGCAATTTCTCTCCTCTATTTTGGAGTCTCAGTGTCTCTAGAACCCACACCCACACCCCAGCAAAAAGACAAACATTTTTTTCACTGCTTTATGGGCTATAAAAGGGGAAATGCTGAGAAAATATTGTTAGAATGCTGCTGGAGAGAGAATTACGGTGCAGTGTTTTCAGGTTCCTGTGATAAACAATTCTAGTAGTTTCGACATCCCACTCACAGGCCAAGTAACCAGTGTCATATGATCTGCTCTCTGATCCAGTCAGCTTTTTTTTTTTTTTTTTTTTTACTGTTTCCACAGAATTCTTGTCAGAGCCCTTTTATGTTGAAGAAGATGACTAATGATGTTTTCTTTTTTTAAAGGAACACTACCCCTGCCGCGCCCCCAGCTGTGCTGAATCTTTCTTGCTTCTCTCTGGCTTTCTCCAGTTGCAGTGATCTGGGGCACCTCTCTAGTTGCAGTGCATGGACTTTTCACTTTTGTGGCTTCTCTTGTTGCAGAGCACAGGCTCTCGAGCATGGTTTCAGTAGTTGTGGGCCAAGGGCTTAGCTGCCCTGCAGCATGTAGAATCTTCCCGGACCAGGGATCGAACCCATGTTCCCTGCATTGGCTGCTGCTGCTACTACTGCTAAGTCACTTCAGTCGTGTCCGTCTCTGTGTGACCCCATAGATGGCAGCCCACCAGGCTCTTCTGTCCCTGGGATTCTCCAGGCTAGAATACTGGAGTGGATTGCCATTTCCTTCTCCAATGCATGAAAGTGAAAAATGAAAGTTAAGTCGCTCAGTCGTGTCCGACTCTTCGCATGGATTGTAGCCCACCAGGCTCCTCCGTCCATGGGATTTTCCAGGCAAGAGTACTGGAGTGGGTTGCCATTTCCTTCTCTAGCATTGGCAGGTGGATTCTTAACAATTAGACCACCAGGGAAGTCCTAGTAATGTTTTCTGTTTCACTAGAGCCAAAACTTCCTCTCTGCTTAAATGAAGCAAGAATCTTGAAGAAGTAGTCCTTATGATGTCCATCTAATTCTCAGTCTTTATTTTTATTATAGCAGTTTTATTGATGTATGGAAAAGTTACATTAACAGCTTTGCAATTGTTATCTGAAATTATTTAGACTGAAAACAAACAAACTAGAAGATATTTAGTAAGACAACTGAGTGAGACTTTCTTTATCATCAAAATGAACAAATTAGTCAAGCTGTCCAGGTTTTTGTCTTTGGTCATCACATGTCTTTTTTGCCTAACAAAAAGCAAGTCAGCCTTGAGTTTGAAACTTTAACCCAGTGTACTTTCCCCATCCTGTATTATTTTGAACCAAATCCTAACTATCATATGATTTTACCATAAATATTTCAGTATACCGAAATGTTTGATTAAGGGCAATTATCTCAGGAAATTGGGTTGATTTGCAGGAGCCAATAGTTTTTTGTATAACTCAAGTAGTAACAGTGATTTATTTTATTTTTAGTTTTTTCTCTTTACAGGTTTATTCAACACAAAACAACCTCTTACAACTTTACTGAAAATATGGAATGCTTCACGAATTTGCATGTCATACTTGCGCAGGGGCCATGCTAATCTTCTGTGTATTGTTCCAATTTTAATATATGTGCTGCCGAAGTGAGCACTTAACTGTGATTTATGAGGTGAGAAACTTAGAAGGTAAGTAAATATCAATTGTACAATAGATATTTCAGCCTTTCTGGACTCACTGAGAAGTCACATGTTTGTTTGTCTACTCTGGTCAAAGTATAAGCCATGTGGGTCACAGATATCCATTAAACTTGTTTCTGCCTTGTGTAGCAACCTGCATATTTACTTTTTAAAAAAGTCTCCAGAGCTAATATCAATGGGTTCCTTGATTACAACAAAGAATGCCAGAGTTTTCAGTCACTCTTTACACATAAAAATTTTCTACTCTACATTATGCATTCAAGAAAAATACAAGTTTGACTGACATGGAAAAGCAGAATTTTGCTAATTTTACTTGCACATGTGTCACAAAACCCTTATAAGAGGCAAACATTTTAAACATTTTTTTTTTCCACATCCTGGAATAAAACCGACACTGTCTGAAAATGTACCATAGTTATCCTAGAGCTTTGAGAAATGCAATTAAAATCCTCCAAGAATGAGTATGTCCCTGCTCAAGAATAGAACAAATCTGAAGCCTTTGTGGTGTGTGTGTATTTACTGACTAGAGGAGGAAATGTGAAAAATGCTCTAGGGGCATGAGGTGTGTAAGACTTCAAGCTGCTCCCTCTCCACATTAGCAAGTATTAGGGGAGTAATTTCTTGGTTTGGAGGAAAGTGCAATGGGTTATTATTTTGTTTTCCTTCCCACCTCTTGCTCTGTTTTGTTCCTCATTCTTTGAACCAGCCACTGAACTTATCACCCTTTTCCTATCTTTCCCCACAATTTTATGCACTGGAGCAGAGGGAAAGGGGAAGTTTGTGAAGAAAGGAATCCTTCTTTTTTTCCTCCTCCCCTTAGAGGCTGTCTGTCCCTGCTCTTGAACAATTATTGATAGTTTTATTCATTTTGTAGGTGCTCATCAAAATGTAATTATCAGCAGTTATTATGAAAAAAAGCATGCCAAAACTGTCTCATGAAACTCTATTCCTGGCAATGCTATTATCTATATAAAAATGTCGTGACATTAATCAGTGTTCATTCATTCAGTAACTATTATATACCTGTGAAGTACCTGAGTGTGAGGCAGCAAGGAGGAATCAGAAATTAATTTTTAAAAATGGTCCCTGACCTTGAGAAATTTACCAAGGAGATAAAAGTTTATCTGTACATAAAAACTATAATACAGATTGAAATGTGGCATGTTCTATATTGGTACTTCTTTTAAAATAGTCTGAGACCACCTACTAAATCAAAATCTCTGGTTGTTGCACTGGAGAATCTGCATTTTTGCAAGACTTCCAAGGTGAGTCTCATACACATTAAAGCGTTTTATACGTTTTAATTTTTTTTTTTTTTCTGGGAGAATATAAGAAAGGGATCAAATTCAGCATAAAAAGAATCAGAGGGCTTCCCTGGTGGCTCAGGCGGTAAAGCGTCTCTGCCAGCAATGC